AGAGTTGTTTTCCACTTTTCATTGTTTGTTCGCGTTTCGTTTGCCCTACCTGTCTTTTGAATGTCATTTATTGGTGCCGGAATGCATAGTCTTTCCTTATAGGGTTGCAGTGTATTACTGGCTCTTGAGAACATATTGGAATTATTTTGTATTGGATAGTGTTTTTGGCTATAACAACTAGTTGTAACAACTGTCGAATTTCTTCTCTTATATTTTAGTAAACATTTTTTTACGTTGTTGTGTAGGGTTGATAATGTTCCTCGCAAATAAGCCTAGTTGCTCTGTATAGAAATAAGTGGACGGTATAAGAAAGTGTATACTTTTAATGACTCTCCTCTTAGGATTAATGGGCGGTGACGATTTCATTTGAGTTTGAAAGGTAAACTTGGTACATATATGCAGATTGAAGTGCGTAATTTGCCGTCATAAATCAAAGGGTGTCAAGCCATTTTTTCTTTTGTTTTTTCATCGATTATTAGAGTAAGAAAGTGAACCTCAAACCCTAATTTAGAAAGCGGTCTACGTGCTTTGATATCCGGCACTTTTTTTTTTTTTTTTTTTTTTTTTTGAATGTTTTAGCCATTCTCAGACTGCTGCTGGTTTGGCGACAACTTTTCCGTTTATTTTTCTCTATTTGTTTTTGTGAATTATTAATTTAAGTTCTCATTTCTTCTAAAAATTTATTTAATTACGGATAAATGGGTTCTTTTTTTGTATGTGCTGAGGTATGTGTGCAATACTGCTAGCGAACTTTACGGGAAGTGTGAGAGATCTAAAATTTTTCCAAAATTGGTAAAACGGATGTCATCTAAATACTGTTGTTCAGTTGACTCCCAGTGGCGTAGTGACATTGAAGCAAGAATGATTTAATAATCTGTGGTAGTGGTATAGCGAGGAGAATTGCGGAATTTTCATTTCCTATGGTTACAACGTCAAAAATTATTATGAGTGGTTAGGAGTTCTTTTTTCAAGCTTTGTTGTAACTGGTTTTTTTATTGGGACGAGTAGTGAACGGCTTCATGTAAAATGTATGGGGTTTTCAAAGTACAGGTCATTTTGTCTTGCCGTAGATGAAAGTTCTGGGTGTCAGGTCAAATAAAGAGGAACAAGGATATAATTAATTGAGATGGGAGTACCTTTTCGTTGAAAATCGTTTATTATCGAGGCAGACGTTACAGCTATGGAGACTGTTTATTAAGAAACTATTATTTTGAAAACATTTGTTTTTATTTGGAGTCTATAGTTTTGTTTGCAGTGCCTGTCACAAGCGTTTTTTAGGGAGATACTGCTTGTCAAGTATCACAGAAGGAAAAAAAAAGTTTACTTGTCACTCTGTCTTTGCGAAGGTTATTCTCGCTGTTATTATGTTGGATGTTTATTTTCTTCGTTTAGGCATCCCGTTAATATTGTTGCATTATGAGCGGGCAGTCGGCCGCTTCATCTGGAGTCCAGGAACGGATGATTAAACTAAGTGAACTTCGGGTTTTCGATTTGAAACAAGAACTAGAAAAACGTGGTTTAGACAAGAACGGTATAAAGTACGCTCTCATTGAGCGTCTTGAGACGGTATGTTCTTGTTTAAAAGAATGTTTGCTTTTTTTTACTTTAACTTTTATCTCTTGAAAGCGATTTTTGAAGTTAAAGTGCCATATGCTCTGGTGGCTTTATGTTTTTTAGTGCCTTAATGATAAACAGGGTTATTGTCCAGCATTTTTACTCGCCTGATTATTCAATGTAATTGTTCTTTTAATAATAGGTCTAGAATGCAGTTTTGGTGTTTACAAAGTACAATAGGTCTTACAGGGTTCTGGCTTTTTTAGGTATTATATATCACTATGTTTCATTCAGCGTGGGGATTTTAGAGTTGTGATTATGGCTTATTTTTATTTTTAATTTTAACGTTGGTATTATTTATTTTTGTTGTTTCAAGCGAGTGTCACTGTTATTATTTTCGTTGCTTTTTATTTCTCACTGATTTTTAGTGTTTTTTTTTTTTTTTTTTTTTTGTCTTTTACAGTGAAACTGATGGGTTTTTTGAGTTTAGGCGCTACGAGAAGAAGGGCACGATCCAAAAACTTTTTTATTTGCTGTTGGTGATTATGGGAAAAATTCTCCTTCTGTGAAGACTTCATATTTGAAGCGGAGCGGTCAGTAATTCTGGATTTTTAAAGGAAGCTGGATTTACTGGTATGTCACTGGCAGTTTGAAATGAAGAGGTTCGATGTTATTTCAGTAGTTCCCGGAGAAAATGCCGATGAGGATAAGGAAGTGGAAGAAAATGATAGGCTTCCTTGTAAGGAAGAGAGCGAAAACGGTGAAAGGCCTGCTATTGACGAGAATAGTGGAACTTCTAAAGCGGAATCGGAAATTGTGAGCGTTGAAACGAATGATGAAGGTAGCACGGTCAATGAGGTTTCATCCAAATTCGACGATCACAAATCTGAAGGAGTGGTAAAGCTATACGTTGAAATAGCTGTGATATCGTTGTAAAGTCGAAGAAATTCCCTATATATTGCAGGACGGAAGAAGAATTTTTTTATTTTGACTTTTAGGTGGAAGAACCACTTGTTGCGAGATCTGAAGCTCAAATAATTGGTGATGATATCAACTTGGAGTCTGAAAACCCACACGTTTCAGAAGAAACAAGAGATAAGATTCAAAACCTTGACGATTTGGAACCCAAGAAAGATTTAGGGATAACAGCTGAAACAGCAAAATCAGTACCAAGCACTGCAGTTGAAAAATTCACTGTATCTCACTCGCAGCCTCTTTTAAAAAAATCGCTGGACAGTTCGCTGTGGATTAGAGGGATAGGTCCAAACACAAAAGCTGCAGACTTACAGGTGTTTCACCAGCATATCTTACGATTTTATGCTTTTTCGCGACCAGTCATTCCCTTGTTATAGCCCAGTTTCATGTTGTTTCATTAAGTAGGTTGCTTGCTCTAGGCTCTTTTCTCGAAATATGGCCGCGTTATAACAGCCAAAATTTATACCCGGCGACAGCAGCCATCTGGTGCCTGTTTCGGGTTTGTCACCATGGCGGATTCTGCTACAGCTGAATTGTGTATCCATAAGCTGAATAGAACTGCTATTAAAGGGCGTGTGATTACTATAGAAAGGGTATGCTTTGGCTTGGCTACTTTCCATACTTACTGCTAAGAATTTTGGAATTTTAGTCCTTGATCACGTTCTTGTTTGTTACTGGGAATTCCGTATTTGTTCATTAGATTTAACGTTTTACTTCTCCACCTTGTTTTGTCCTATTTTCTGTATCATTGCAAATCACGCAATTCAAATATAGCGGTTAGTTATTTTTCAAGATCATCCGCTTATCGTCATATTTGCGTGTGATGACATTTCGACTTCATATGTTCAGTCTGAAATAACTCCGGGTACTGGAAAGTTTCACTGCCTAAGGGAATGAAGGTGTAGAATCATAAATACTAGGACATCCGTGTAAAAATCATTTAAACCTCATCAGTTCAGGCCGATCGTTCCAACATGCCTTCTTTAAAGTCGGTCAAGAAGAAAGCAGCTGCTTTAGCAAATGCAGCTCAAAAAAGTTCATCAAGTACAGTTAACAATGAGAGACCGAAAAGCGAGGAACGACCGAAAAGCAGCAGAGAACAAAGTTCGGAAAAAGAGAAGAAGGAGAAAAGTTCGACGGGTAAATCGAAAAATGCTTCACCTGCAGAGAAAGCCAGCAATCATGCGGATAGCGACAAACAGAAAACTGCTAAAACGGCAAGTGGTTCAAAGAAAGTCCCGGTCAGAGCACCATCCGCAAGCACTTCACGTAATCTTTTATAAATTTTTTGCATCTTTCATTTACTTCAAGCTCTAAACTGTGTGTCTCGGATGTAGCGAGTTGTGATAATTTGTAGAAACATTTCGTTGCAATGTGCAGGATTTCGCCTATGATGAAGTGTTCAAGTTTTTTGATTCCTGAATTACAACAGTTTGGTTTCCAAGTTTAACGATGGAATTTGCAGTGCAAATTATTCTGATTTATGGTGAGAAGGACGGACAACTTTTGTTGTCAAATTAAGTGCACTAATTATGGGCCAAATAATTATTTGTTATCACTTAATCTGAAAAGTCACCCGGGTATCGAATTTGACGATTAGTACTTTATGGCACTGCGTAGGCAGCGATGTTTGACAAATAGTTGTTTCTTCGCAAGCAGTAGAACTGCATGGATTGGCGATGAAAAGGCGGAATGCTCTTGGAATAAAACCTCATACTTTATTGAATGAAATTATAAACAACTAACTTGAATTTCAGAATATAAAGGAAAGCCATCTTCACGAGAACGTGCTCAAGTCAGCCGTTTATCGTCTAAATTTAGAACTGGAAGAAGATTTACGGAACGTGCTGAACGTTTTGCGTCTCTGCGACGCCCGTTCAGTAGCAGTATAAGGAAACCTGTTTTTGCTTCGGGAGCACGTAGACCGGCGACAGTATCAGGTCGAATACCCTTGCCTGGTCGGTCACCTCGTTTAAGCAGATTTGCTCGTCGAGAGGTATCTTCGAGACGAGTAGAACCGTCATGGGATAAACGAGAAGTCATGGAAGTTTTGCGCAAGAAGGAAGAAGAATATCGGTTGAAAGAACAAGAATTGCGGTTGCAGCGTGAACGAGAAAGGTTGAAATTTGAAAGGGAACGAATTGAAAGAGAGCGTCTTGAGTTACAGCAGTGGAGACAACTAGGACAGTTCGCAGCACCGCACATACCACCTATAATTCCGATATCACGACGTTCGCATGACTCTTATGATGATGTTCACAGCTCCAGGTACGAATAATAACACAGAATTCACGTGTTGCACATTATGTACTCCCAGAGCAGATTGAAAGTCACAGTTTTTTATCTCGTTTTTTATTTTTTATTTTTTTCGCAGTCACAGTTATTGTAGTAGTGAGAATTATTTGTTCATGTATCAACCTTCAAGTTTTCTTTAAGCGTGATTACTGTTCATGCAATACCGTTTTTCGTAGTTGCGGATAATACTTTTTGCTCCTGTTCCTTTGTTATTTCCTTTCAATCTCATACGCATATTTCATGTTTTGGCCTTAATGATTGGAATCTTTATTGTTCGTAATGCGGATGTTGTATATGACCCATTGTTTGATCCTCTCATTTTAGCCGCCATCATAATGAGTACGCACGCTCTAGTGGTGAGAGACATTCATCAAGCCATCGGAACAGCTCAGGGTCCTCCCGTGTCGCCTCCTCGGAAAGGCGGGAACCTCATGTTTCTTCTCGTCACGTTTCTGCTAGCCATCATTCTTCTTCTCGTAGCATTTCGGAAAGAGAAAGGAGTAGACATGGTTTCTTTTACTTGAAATACGGAGTGTTTTTTATGATAGTGGTTAATAATCGGAAATTATTTTTTTTAAAGATACTTAGTTTTTGGTTACATCGGCTTTAGACTTCTTTGACATTACTCAGGTGGAATGATTGAGTAAATGTATTTTTGAAGAGTTCTGGTCGTTTTAAAAAGTTTTTATTCAGGGAGGGAAAGGGAATCCCGAAACTACACCTCGTCGTCGCCAAGAGAAATTTACAGCAGGGACTCCCATTCTGCTTATGGGCGTAATGTTGATGCAGCAACAAGTAATTACAGTGAGCTTTGTGACTGTAGTTTCTTTTGCGTTTTTGTTGGTTTTTAATTGGAATTTTACTGTCATATTTGTGCTTCAGAGGAATCGATTTGATTTGATTTGTAGGCAAAGAAACTTATCGAGGGTCAGAAGCCGCATCCTACAGCAGCAGTCATCGAAGTAGTGACTTAGGTTACAGCAGTAGAGAAATGGGTTATTCTGGTCAGTCTATTTTTTCAAACTAAAATACCATTTCGTAGAGTCATATTTTTCTGCTGCTGTAGTGACCAGATTCACAAGTGGAAGGCTTGCATAAAAGGGGTAGCTTTTTTAGGCAGTTATGGAGGAACTTCGTCCAGATCTGGAGGCGCCTCATCTTGGCAAGTAGGTGGAAGTGGTTCCACGTACCTTAGTTCATCCTCAAGAGATTTTGATAATAATGGGTCTTGGATGTCATCTATTCCTTCGTCACAGCCACATGGCATTAGTGGTAGCCAGTGGCAGTCATCGAGAACAAGTAAGATTTGTTAAGTTAGATTTTAGGTTTTTTTCGATTGGAGCTTTCGGCGAATCATATTAGCTGTAAATAACGCAGTTCCTGACGCATTTATGCCGGTTTTTT